CTGCCCATGTCTGTGGCTCATACATTTAAACAAGGAAATAGTCGTCATTACGTCTGTTAATATTTAAAGTCTATGGCTCACACTACTTTCCAACCTATGTGAATCTTCCATTCCAATTGTGATTCTTACTTAAAGCAATGCATCTTGCAGCAAGCACACACATCCATTACCGGAAAATCACTGGCCATCGCCGCATTGATCCCAATCCTTAAAGTAGTCGGTGATACGGACACCTCGCTGCTCGCTCTGCCCCCAGGCGGGACATTTAGGGCCACGCTCCCTTCCAGGACATAAGTCTCGCTGACAACACAAAGGACTGGAGCTTAATGAGCACAGTGGAGAGGCAGTTCAATGATTTCTACCCAATCACCCATGTGGGCTCCTCCACACCCAATTACAGCACGCTAAGCTGCAGAGGAGGAGCAACAATCAGCAGCAGCTATAGCAGCGGAACAAAGGCCCGGAGGAATCCACGGACGAGACTTATCGACAGAAATAATGTCTCTATATTTTGACAACACCCAGTCAATAACGGGACAATGGCTAAAATTGGGCTGATAGAAGATGTTGTGAGCTCATATTGATCTAAAGACTCACATAATGATATCAAAAACCTGTCTGCCAGGTTTGCGATACATCACCATAGAACAAAAGCAGACTCCAGGCCTTAGTCGTGCTCCTTCTTTGCATTTAGTATTTGTGTGTTTGTGATAAAACATGTGATATGACCATGAAACTGCTCCCCATCTTCTCCTAAAACTGAGAGGTTTTTAATTGCAAATGTGCAGTAAACCGCTCCATTAAAGCTATACCCGTTTCTCCTATAGTTTTTCTCAGTTTGAATGTTTAGCCCCGCCCCCAACTCGCTCACAGGCTTCTCATTTGCCCTACGCTCTCATCCCACGCAGCCATCTAGTTTAATTTGCGATCTGACACGTATGCTAGCGTTAGCATTAGCGCAACTGATTGTAAGCTGTACAACAATCACTGATGAAATGGTACAAAAGCAACGCACTGCTACCAAAATATAAAACTGAAAGATTACCGCTAGTTTAACGTCCAAATGTCCGAGCGTAGATAGTTAGAGGCGGTCCCGCACCCGCAGGTCTCTCCAGAGCACATGTGTCAAAGTCAAGGCCCGCGGGCCAAATCCGGCCCGCGAATGAATTATCTATGGCCCCCGGGACATTGCATTCCATTGAGGCAATGTTGACCCCTTAAGCTCGCTAGCCGCCAACAGATTGCTAGCGGGGGCCAGCAATCTGTTGGCAATAGCAGATGTATTTTGAACTTCGTAAGCCACAAGCTATATATCATTTTAAAGCTTATTTTCTCAGCTATATTTATATGTAAATGTAAACGATATCAGACTTTGCATTAAAAAGATATAACGCATAATATGGGCACAAAATAAATCACGTCTGTATTTGTTTTTTACCTTTCGTCTTCTGCTGCTCCAACAAATTAGACTTTCCCCATCCTTGCTTAGTCTCTTTCTCTCCGTAACTGTTCATTGAAGAAGAACATCCACTTGTATTTCCCAAAGTATAATCCATTCTGCAGATTTAATCAAAAAACGCCCCGAAAAGAGGTCCAGACTGCTCTTTTACATTTCACCAAGTTTGAGCTTTTTTTTTTACTATTGTCATGTTCTCAGATGTCTATTACATCTAATATGTACAGTATGAGGATTGGCTTTGGAGCATATTTTATCGAGCCAACAGGTGTCACCGGCACTGCCTCTGGATGTTGAGAAACATTGAACCAGTCCGGCTCTCGGCGCGTAGCAAACATTTTTTTTTGGCCCTCTTATGTATTTGACTTTGACATGCCTGCTCCAGAGGATACCATAGGGTAAGCTAACGCTAAGCTAACGCTACGTTTGTTCACCCGGGCTTGATTTCTTCTTGGATCATGTTTTGGCTTTAGTTCCCTCTTCTCTTCCTCACTGTTGTGTGGTTTGAGCTGTTTTGTTGTGTCTGCAGTTACAGCCAGAGGAGTTATAGCCACTTATGCTAACATGCTACTGTGTTTAGCAGCGCTGTAGAGGCTAGAGGACGCAGCCTCGTTCTGTGATTGGAGGAGAGCGTTAAGTCTCTACGCAGCACTTTTTACGGCCTGAATTCATACACAGCTGAATCAATGAACTCAAGTTTTCAATTAAATCACGGATTTTAATACAACTTTTATGTAGTAATAAGCATTTTTATTAACTCACTCAAAATAAATCAGCTATAGCTTCTTTAAATTAACTTGTGTTTTGAATCCTTTGAGTAACCAGAGGTGGCTCAGGCTGTAACCAACAAATAGTTTTCTTTTTGGCCTGTTCCATTTTTGAGTTTTTGCAAAATATCAAACCAAACGACACTACGCAGATGGGTCGATCCACTTCCTGAATCAGTCATGTGACGCGGTGGTTCAGGACGGGTCAAGGGTCAAACCACTCTTCGCTTTCAGGCTGCACTGTGATTACTCAAAAAGCCTCCATTCCTTCAGCCATCACTATTATTTCAGTCTGTCTCCTTTTAGATTTGACATTTTGTGACACTTTGCTTTTGTTGAGACTGCAGGTGAATGAGAGGTAGGTTCTCTTTTTGTCAAGTTAGTGCTAGCTTTTTTTGTTTTGTATTTTACTAATTTGTTTGTTGATTTGTCACAATCATTTAAGTTCCTGTTATTAAATGACTTTTTTTAAAATTTTACGTCTTGGTTTCTGTGACCACCCTCGCCCTGGCAGAGCTGGCCCATGACAGTAAACTAGAACCAGTGCTTGGAAAGATGGGGCAAGAACCAGGAAACAAACATAAGTATTTAAGTAAGATGTATTTATAAAGCGCCTTCACAACCCGCTATTTGTACATGTTTTTAATGGTAGGGTAAACTGGAGCACACGGAGGAAACCTAAGCAGACACAGGGAGAACATGCAAACTCCACTCAACTGACTCGCTTTAGCAACCACCCAATACTTATTCAGAAACAGCTTGGTTCAGGTTCTAACTGTGTGAAATCGGCGAACGTAACTTGTGATTGGTCAGAGGCGCTGTCAATCACTCTACAGCCGTCGCGAAAAAACATAAACAACTAATTGCCTCAAGTTTCCGGCTGAAAACTACGATGAGGTCCGTACGAGAATCAATTCCTCGGTCGCTGTGGATGGGGTCAGGGGTCAGCACTTCCACAGTTTGAGGAGAAAACAAACTCCGGTCTGAGCTCGATGGTGCCGCCCGAAACCAGAAGGTGTTTGCGGAGAACACCAGAGGAGAACGGAGGAGAACGGACCATCGGACATTGCCACAGAGCAGGGAAAAGTTAAGGAGCTTAAAGGGACTACCGTGAAATTAAAGTTTAGCCAAAGTGTGTCGAACTGAAAAGCTCAGAGGTGGTTTGACCAAATGGATGCAATTTAAGATAAGATTTTCCTTTATTTGTCCCACTGTGGGGATATTTCAATGTCACCGTTGCGCACGTTACAGCAGAGAAAAATAAGAAAATAAGAGAACTCAGATTATTATTCAAGATAATAAAATCAAAATAATAAGTGTTACGGGTCCCAAGCTGTAGCAGTGACCACATAAACAAAAATATTCTTCCATAATTTGTAAAACAATAAAGAAAAGTCTCAGAGGAAAATTGACTCAGGACTCGCTTCGATTCTAGATGGTGTCTGAGGGTCACGGTCAATGCCGCCCCCCTAGTACATCAGAAAATGACAACAGTTCCTACAACGTTTCCTCTGTACGCGGCAAAATTTGAACAGGACAACTTTTACTAAAAATAAGCTAATTATCTCTAAATTAAAAACAAATAATTACACAAATACAAATTTAAACAAACCATTGCTGTACCACATAAGCAAAAATTATGTGAAATAAAAAAAAAAACAAAAAAAAAACTCTGGCGCTATAATTGCACTTGGTTCAGAGGAATTTACAGATGTGTGTATTGCACTTTAGCAGCAGAGAATATGAGTAGAATTAGCAACAGTAATATTATCAGTAGGTAAAGTGACTCATACAGATATCATATGAATGGAAATATAATATTGCTGTAATAACAATGATAATAATAATAATAAAAACAGGTGAAGTGACGTATGTTTTATGGTCATCGGCTAAACCGGGAAAGAAGCCTGGACTCTGCCGTGTCCCACCTCCCACATGTTGAGTTTGAGCGGTGAGTGTCTTCAGTCAAATGCAAACGTATCTGCATTATACACCGAAATAAGTGTCTGTGTGGTTCGTTTGATTTGGTTTGTCTAAAGCTAAAGCAGTGTGTATTTCAGGGGTGTCCAAACATTTTAGAAAGAGGCCACTTTAGTTTGCCAGACTAGACCATGGGCCAAAATTACAGACTGAAAATCTTGTCTAGACTGGCATCGGGCTTTTCTGAGCTTTAAAATGATCTATAACAGAGCTGAACGAGGTACAACATGTCTATATTGGCAGAGCTGAAGTTGGATGGATAACACAGTGAACTTGTATGATCTCCAAGACTACTTTGGGTTAGCAAGATAGAGGACCACATAAAATGACACTGAGGGCCGCAATTGTCCCCCGGGCCTGAGTTTGGTCATGCCTGGTGTGGAATGCATTTTTTAATTAACGAAGGGACAATTAATGACTCTCAAACTGAGGCGAGTTGAGTCGAGTTTAGCTAAACCAGGTCTGTAGACTCGGTCCTCAAAGGGCAGGTGTGGCTGCAGGTTTTCATTCCAACCAAGCAGGAGCACAGCCGACTCCAGCCATGTGTCTTCTCTGTGTGTTGTATGGAGAGGGAACAGCCTAAACTATTATTCTGAAAGAGTAACATGTTAAAAATCATACTGAGCCAATGCTAACACATCTCCATGGCAACAGAAGTGGCTAAGCCAACACATAATACACCTTTGCTCCAACAAGGAAAATGAAATAAAGAATTCCCACATTAATAACAGTGGGAGTTGACGTATGGATTTACAGACGAGAGACGGCGTTGATGCGATTAAAGACGTTGGTTTTACCTTGAAAAATCCGTGAGCCGAGTTCCTCTGTCCGAGCCACAACGCTGCGTCCTCCGGGATGTCCATATAAGGAGCTTCCACCACTCGCTCATAGATCCTGAACAAAACACAACAACATCAGAAAAAGAATCAGCTTCTGTTCTCGTTCCACAACCTGAGTCCTGGATCTACAGCTTAAGTCCTGGGTCTACAGCCTCAGTTCTGGGTCTACAGCCTCAGTCCTGGATCTACAGCCTCAGTCCTGGATCTACAGTCTCAGTCCTGGGTCTACAGCCTTAGTCCTGGATCTACAGCCTCAGTCCTTGATCTACAGCCTCAGTCCTTGAACTACAGCCTCAGTTCTGGGTCTACAGCCTCAGTCCTGGATCTACAGCCTCAGTCCTTGAACTACAGCCTCAGTTCTGGGTCTACAGCCTCAGTCCTGGATCTACAGCCTCGGTCCTGGGTCTACAGCCTCAGTCCTGGATCTACAGCCTCAGTCCTGGATCTAGAGGGTCTAAGGACAGTGATAATCCAGGACATTCATGAACATTTCTGTACTGTGATTGCATTTCCTGTGTCCTGCTTGATTTTCTGATCTGTTGTTGACGATCAACAACTTTATACAGTCCGAGATGACCGCTGTTTTAGTTGTGAGTTGGCCCTAAAAATATTGGCGTATTTTATCTTGTGCAAAGACTTGATTTTAGTTGCTATGTCCCCTTTAAGACAATCTTACCAGAGCAAGTCTTGTTGCTAGTATTAGTATATTTATTCTAAAAGCAAGAAGGTTGTGGGTTCGATTCCACATCCAGATCTTTCTGTGTGGAGTTTGCATATTCTCCCCGTCTGTATAGGTGTCCTCCAGGTGCTCCAGTTTCCCCTACTACTAAAAGCGTTTACAATAGCTTTGAATGTATTGAGTGAGTGAATGGATGGTGTTTGGTCGGAGGCTTTGATGGTCCAGTGTGTTCTCGTCTCGCTTTTGTCATCAAAACTCTGAACATGCAGCGCTTTGGGTGACCTTGGTCTGTAAAACGCGCTATATAAATAAACATCACTACTACTACTACTTCTTACAGATGCAGTTAATGTTTTGTCTGAGGGACCTTGAAAACACAACTGTCTCTGATCACTGCTGGCTTTTCTCCACAGTCAGCAGGTGTGTAGAGTCCACAGTGAATGCTAATGCTAATGCTAATGCAGAATCCAAACTGTAAACAGTGTTTGATAAACTTCCTCATGACCTTTATTCAAACACAGGTCAATAAACACTGAGTAATGAGTCATGTTTTATTCAGTGAAAGCTCTTATTAAAGTTATGTATTTAAATCTGCACAGACGGAGCCGCAGAACCAGGACCAGGACCTGTCTCACTGCTGCTTGTATCAACTGTGACCTTCAGGGGGTTTTAAACATGTGAAGCAGTATTGTCTCAGATGTAAAGGTTTTAAAGAGGAGTTTCATCCACTAAAGGTGATGTTTGCGACTTCTAGATCCTGTGGCTTCATTTGAATTAAGCATTTTTCATAAAGAATACATTAAAATACATTCAATTCAATATATTTTTGTACAGCCCAAAATCACAACAGTAGTTTTTTATTGTTGTTAAAGCCATCGGTCGATAAGGGGCAGACGACCAATGTCCTAAAATGTTCTTAAATGTCTCAGATCACCGCTGTCCTTAGACCCACCTACATCTGCAAGGAACAACTCAGAAACACAGTGGGAGAAACCTCAGGGAGGCCCACATTGAGAGAGGGATCTGCTCCCACGGACTGAGGCTGTAGATCCAGGACTGAGGCTGTAGATCCAGGACTGAGGTTGTAGATCCAGGACTGAGGCTGTAGATCCAGGACTGAGGCTGTAGATCCAGGACTGAGGTTGTAGATCCAGGACTGAGGCTGTAGATCCAGGACTGAGGCTGTAGATCCAGGACTGAGGCTGTAGATCCAGGTCTGGGGCTGTAGATCCAGGACTGAGGCTGTAGATCCAGGTCTGGGGCTGTAGATCCAGGACTGAGGCTGTAGATCCAGGACTGGGGCTGTAGATCCAGGACTGAGGCTGTAGACCCAGGACTGAGGCTGTAGATCCCGGACTGAGGCTGTAGATCCCGGACTGAGGCTGTAGATCCCGGACTGAGGCTGTAGATCCAGGACTGAGGCTGTAGATATACCGGACTGAGGCTTTGCAGATTCCAACAGCCTTTCATTCAATCTTTTCCTGAAACTTGGTCCATCTACCTTTCCATCAACACCCTTCCCTGCTGAGGAAAAGCAGTCCGACAGTATAATAATGCGTTAAATCAAACAGATCCAGCTTTATTCCAATAATAGATATACATACTGTAAAAGTATATCTCCATCGGGACCTGTGGACTATCTTCCTGGACCCTTCCCGCCTGGGTGCACCCTCAGTCCTGCACCACATGGCCTCGGCCCTCGTTCTACAGCTTGAGTCCTGGGTCTACAGCCTCAGTCCTGGGTCTACAGCCTCAGTCCTGGATCTACAGCCTCAGCCCTGGATCTACAGCCTCAGTCCTGAATCTACAGCCTCAGTTCTGGATCTACAGCCTCAGTCCTGGATCTACAGCCTCAGTCCTGGATCTAAAGCCTCAGTCCTGGATCTAAAGCCTCAGTCCTGGATCTACAGCCTCAGTCCTGGATCTAAAGCCTCAGTCCTGGATCTAAAGCCTCAGTCCTGGATCTACAGCCTCAGTCCTGGATCTAAAGCCTCAGTCCTGGATCTAAAGCCTCAGTCCTGGATCTAAAGCCTCAGTCCTGGATCTACAGCCTCAGTCCTGGATCTAAAGCCTCAGTCCTGGATCTACAGCCTCAGTCCTGGATCTAAAGCCTCAGTCCTGGATCTAAAGCCTCAGTCCTGGATCTACAGCCTCAGTCCTGAATCTACAGCCTCAGTTCTGGATCTACAGCCTCAGCCCTGGATCTACAGCCTCAGTCCTGGATCTACAGCCTCAGTCCTGGATCTACAGCCTCAGTCCTGGATCTAAAGCCTCAGTCCTGGATCTAAAGCCTCAGTCCTGGATCTACAGCCTCAGTCCTGGATCTACAGCCTCAGTTCTGGATCTACAGCCTCAGTCCTGGATCTACAGCCTCAGTCCTGGATCTACAGCCTCAGTCCTGGGTCTACAGCCTCAGTCCTGGATCTACAGCCTCAGTCCTGGGTCTACAGCCTCAGTCCTGGGTCTACAGCCTCAGTCCTGGGTCTACAGCCTCAGTCTGAGGTAGGGATGTAAAAAACTATGAATTTTCATGACCGACCACCGAGCCTCATTAACCGGTTGAAACCGGTTAACTGCGTAGTTTAAAATAGTCCACGTTCTTTGAAATAACAGCCATTTCGAGCCGCGTACTTTTCATAAGTGCAGCTCTGCGTTCTACTGGATCAGAGTTGAGACAGCGGCGCCCAAACCCGCAACAGCTCCGGCACCTTTGCGCACAGAGAACTGCTTTTTTAATCTTCCCATTCTGCTGTGCTGCGGGTTAATACCAAAACTTTCTAGCAGCAAACGACGGCTCGTTCACATGGTCAGAGCAGCGAGTGACGGGCCGCGTCTCACAGGTCTTCACAAAAGTTTAAATACAAGTGATGTGTGTGGAGCTGATCCCGAGGACCAGAAACACAAACATGTTCCATGTGGTTTGACTGGAGCCGCGTATTTGCGCGAATCCTTTGGGCTCCGTGACACAGAGGAGCGCGACAGACTGGTATGTGTGTGTGTATGTACGTGTGTATGTATGTGTGTATGTGTGTGTGTATGTGTGTGTATATGTGTGTGTGTAAATGTAAGCTCCAATGTAGTTCTGACCCGCGCCAGTGTGCAACTTTGACGGTAACAGGGGGAGAGATGATGCGTGTGGATGTTACGTATGGAGAGATGGAGAGGGGGAAAGTGTGTGTGTGTGTGTGTGTGCGCGCGTGCGTGTGTGTGTGCATATGTGGCTCGTGCGGCGTGAGAGTCGTCCCGGAGTTTATAATACATAGGCGCACACAGCTAGATACAGACCCGCTAGTCACACCGTGCAAATAGGGCTTAAAATAGCGTTATTAAGAGACCTCCCCTCTCCCCTTTTTCTCTTTTTTAACCGACAGCTTTGACCGGTTAACGCTGTGACGGTCAACCACCGGTTAACCGGTCGCCAATTTACATCCCTAGTCTGAGGCCAATCAATGGTGGCCTCCCTGTGGTTCCTCACTTTTCTTTTCTTTTCCACTGGGATTTTAGAGTTGTTCCGTGCCGATGTGAGAGGGTCTAAGGACAGACAGTGGTGATGATCCAGGACACTCGACATTCATGTGTGAACTTTTTTCACATTTCTGGACATTGGTCTCTGCCTCTTATGAACCAATAAATGTATTTTTATCATCACATTACCTGCATTTGATCTGTGTGATTCTCTGATCTGTGTCGACAGCTTTGTTAAACTACTGTTGGGATTTAGGGTTATAAACATGAATTGAATTGAACATGTTTGATGGTTTCCTCTCACCGGTTGCAGTCGATGTGCAGGACCATGTGTGAGGCGCTGATGGCGATGGAGAGCTTGTGCCACTGGTCGTCGGCGAGGCTGTAGGGGAAGACCTCCGTGTGCGGCTGCTGACCCCGGGTTCTGTAGTGGAGGCGGATCTCACTGCGCTGACCACTGCTCTCCAGCTCCAAGAACCTGCACCAGAGAGAGAGAGTGAGGGATCATGCACCAGAGAGCAAGAGAGAGAGAGAGAGAGAGAGAGAGAGAGAGAGGGAACATGCACCAGAGAGAGAGAGAGAGAGAGAGTGTGTGAGGGAACCTGTACCAAAGAAACCAGAGAGAGTGAGGGAACATGTACCAGAGAGAGAGAGAGAGAGTGAGCGAACATGTACCAGAGAGAGAGAGAGAGAGTGAGGGAACATGTACCAGAGAGAGAGAGAGAGAGAGAGAGAGAGTGAGGGAACATGTACCAGAGAGAGAGAGAGAGAGTGAGGGAACATGTACCAGAGAGAGAGAGAGAGAGTGAGGGAACATGTACCAGAGAGAGAGAGAGAGAGTGAGGGAACATGTACCAGAGAGAGAGAGAGAGAGTGAGGGAACATGTACCAGAGAGAGAGAGAGAGAGAGAGAGAGAGTGAGGGAACCTGTACCAAAGAAACCAGAGAGAGAGAGAGAGTGACGGAAACAGGTACGAGAGAGAGAGAGAAAAAGAGAGAGAGAAACTGCACCACAGAAACCAGAAAGAGAGAGGGAGTGAGGGAACACGTACCAGAGAAACCAGAGAGAGAGAGAGAAACTATACCAGCGAAACCAGAGAGAGACAGAGAGAGAACCTGCACTTGAGAAACCAGAGAGAAAGGGGGGGAACCGCACCAGAGAGAGAATGAGAGAGGAGAGAGAGAAGGATTTAACATGATTCTAATGTTTTAAATTACTTACTGAGAGAGAGAGAGAGAGAAGCTAGATGTTTATCAACCTGGACTGACCTCTCATCCTCCCCTCTCTCCCCTCTCTCCTCCCTCCCCTCTCTCCCCTCTCTCCCCTCTCTCCTCTCTCCCCTCTCTCCCCTCTCTCCTCCCTCCCCTCTCTCCCCTCTCTCCTCCCTCCCCTCTCTCCCCTCTCTCCTCCCTCCCCTCTCTCCTCCCTCCCCTCTCTCCCCTCTCTCCTCCCTCCCCTCTCTCCCCTCCCCTCTCTCCCCTCTCTCCTCCCTCCCCTCTCTCCCCTCTCTCCTCCCTCCCCTCTCTCCCCTCTATCCCCTCTCTCCCCTCTCTCTCTCTCTCCCCTCTCTCCTCTCTCCCCTCTCTCCTCCCCTCCCCTCCTCTCCCCTCTCTCCCCCTCTCCTCCCTCCCCTCTCTCCCCTCTCTCCTCCCTCCCCTCTCTCCCCTCTCTCCTCCCTCCCCTCCCTCCCCTCTCTCCTCCCTCCCCTCTCTCCCCTCTCTCCTCCCTCCCTAAGCCTGGGTAAAATGTGGGCTTTTGTTCTGGGATAGAGGCTCTCTGCTCACTTCTCTGCTCAGTTTCTTGGATACTGACTTTTAACAATTATGATGTCATGTCCACCATTACTATAAGAAAATATAACATTTTATTCGTCCCTCGGTGGAAACTTCAACGTTGTAGCTGTAGTTTAAGTTACAGCAGAGTAAAAAGAGACTCAGATTATAATTCACACAAAGACTGTGGACTGAAGATAATCCTGCAGCTCAAAGCACACGTTGGACCAACACCAAAGACTTTACCATTAAAGAAACCAGAAAACCATTTGAAAAGGTCCTTTCATTTCTCCCCTCTTTCTACCCTCCTCCCTCCCCACTCCACTCTCTCACATCTCCTCTATCCCCTCTTCTCTCTCCTCTCTCTCCCCATTATCTCTCTCCTCTTTCGCCAATGCTCTCTCTCCTCTCTCCCCTCTCCCCACTCCTCTCTCCCCTATCTCCCCTATCCTCTCTCTACTCTGTCCTCTCTCCCCTCTTCTCTCTCTCCCCTTTTCTCGCTCCTCTCTCCCCCCTTCTTTCTCCTCTCTCTCCCCGCTATTCTCTCTCTTCTCTCTCCTCTCTGCCTTCTTCACTCTCTTCTCGCCCACTTCTTTCTCCTCTATCCCCTCTTCTCTCTCCTCTCTCTCCCCATTATCTTTCTCCTCTGTCCTCGCTCCCCTCTTCTCTCTCCCCATTCTCTCTCTCCTCTCCCCTCTTCACTCTCCTCTCTCTCCTCTGTCCTCTCTCCACTCTTTTCTTTCCTCTCCCCACTCCCTCTCCTCTCTTCTTTTCAGATCAGTTAAAGCTTTTTGAATTTTTTTTTTTTCATCTGAAGAAAATCAAACATACAAACTGGGTTATCAGACATGTGTTTATGGGTTGCCATAACAACCTGTTCCATAAATCATGACATAAAACTCTGCAGACGTTGAATAGTATTGCCATATTTGGTCAGTGGTCAGTGCTGTGATGGGAGACCTCTGGGAACAGGTGCCAGAGTGGGGCGGCTGCGGCTGTAAAGTGCTAAACTGTGGTTGTGTCCTTGGGCAAGACACTTCCCCCACATCAGAATGAGTCTGGTGTGTGTGTGTGTGTGTGTGTGAATGGCAGGTGATGGCACAGACTGTTTGCCTCGCTTCTGTCAGTGTGCCCCAGGGCAGCTGTGGCCAAAATAGCAGTTTATCCTCACCGTGTATGGAGTGAATGAATAATACTGTGAAGCCGCAGAGTCCAGGAAAGTGCTGCATAAAAGCGATGCCCGATAAATCCAGTTGGGGTCAGCGAACATGGGCCATCCCTGAATCATTTTGTCTCTTTTTCAGTCTCTTCAAAAACACGACTCCACAGTTACAGCCCGTGTCAAAGTTATTTTCCACCACTTCAGTCTTTTCAGAATCCTGCGTGCGTCATCAGAAAGCGGGCGCCTCGGTCCAAGCGGCTCTGGCCTCTCGGATCCAGGTGAGACACAGAAGACTGGACTGGAAAATGACGTGGAGCCGTGAGTTTGGGTAAAGTGCCGCATCAGCAGAGCACTTTGACCCACATCAGCCTCAGAACCAAATCCTCGTTCTCTCGCGCCGCATACGTTTGCTCCGTATTAACCTTAATGACAAGTGCAGCTGTGTGCTTTTGACCCGCTGTTCAGGAGGCGGACGGGAATCACACCGCAGCAAAGGTACGCAACACCGGGATTAAGCAAATAATGGATGTAAATAGTAATTATCAAAGCTATAAACTCGACACAGCAAGGGTAATATATGAAAGGACCAATAAGAAGAGAGGAGAGGCAGTCCCTGTGCTCCTTAGAGACCCAACAGGAGGCCAGTCCCAGTCGTAGTCCTTCTTAGAGTCCAAGCAGGAGACTAGTCCCAGTCCCTGTGCTTGTGCTCCTCAGAGTCCCAGCAGGAGGTCAGTCCCTGTGCTCCTCAGAGTCCCAGCAGGAGACTAGTCCCAGTCCCTGTGCCCCTCAGAGTCCCAACAGGAGACTAGTCCCTGTCTCTGTGCTCCTTAGCGTCGAAGCAGGAGGCTGGTCCCTGTGCTCCTCAGAGTCCCAGCAGGAGGCTGGTCCCTGTGCTCCTCAGAGTCCCAGCAGGAGGCTGGTCCCTGTGCTCCTCAGAGTCCCAGCAGGAGGCTGGTCCCTGTGCTCCTCAGAGTCCCAGCAGGAGGCTGGTCCCTGTGCTCCTCAGAGTCCCAGCAGGAGGCTGGTCCCTGTGCTCCTCAGAGTCCCAGCAGGAGGCTGGTCCCTGTGCTCCTTAGCGTCGAAGCAGGAGGCTGGTCCCTGTGCTCCTCAGAGTCCCAGCAAGTTAGGCTCGTCCCAGTCCCTGTACATACTCAAATTTTGGCCAATGCACATAGTTATTTTGAGTTGATTGCTTACGTATGAGTTGCTTCCATTAATAATGTTTCACCCATTTTAAAATATTTCACTGTTGAGAAAATCAATTTGCCTAAACTTAAAAAAGAACTTTAGTTGATACAACGTAAAAAGACCCATAGAGAGGGTTTCCTCAATTTTTCTTGTTGAGTCAACCTGCTGCTGCTACAACCTGGTACAATGTAGCTCTCCTTTTGGCTCATGTTTATTGTGCACTTTCCCTGTAAATATTAAAAACCACACCATATAATTACTTTTTAGAGTTCACACACGCAAACATAGCCCTAAATGCAGCCCAGCCTCACCCAGACTCAACTTGAGGCCCTCACATACACTCAGTTTGAAGCCCCCTGACTCACACAGTCTGGTTTTTGTGGCGTGTGATTGGCTGAGACCTCCCAATCATCCAAGGGTAAAGCCATTAGCAACTCCTGCGCATTCTTGCATTAGCCTCCAAACCGTTCAAAGCTTTACGGGAGACTCTTGATTGCTGTTCTGATCACCCAACGCGGCGGCTACACAGAACTAATGGACAGAATTAGCATGCTAACGGCGACGGGGCTCATTAGCTTTCGGAGCACGGCTGCGGAGTCAATGTCTAGAACGCTGTGAGTGATATTGTCTGCGGCGAACACACGGCCGCACACCGGACCAGGACGTAAATCACAGAAATGGGGTGTAAACACTGACTCTAATGGTGTGAGCGGCACCAGGGAAACTGTGGACAGTAATGTGTAAGAATATTGTTGTTTTAGGCCACAAGAAATAATACATGTCTGTGTCCACGTGATACTCTGTGTTGTATTTATAACTAAGAGACATTCTAAAACCATGTGTTTTAGAATGTCTATCGACCTCTGAGGGGCAGGCCAGTCCTTTTAAGTTAATTTTAGGGGTCTTCTTGGACCTGCTAAATGACAGATGGGTTCTTCTGTTTGGATTTTGGCTGACTGTTGCATTATTAAACCCACTCCATCAGGAGTGGGATGACACTGGAGCCTGCTAGTCTACCACTTGTTTAGACCACAGAGATGGATCTCAGACTAAGAGACAGCTGGACCAGAGACGTTAGGCTAGAGAGGCAATGGATTCTTTTTCAGATGCAGACGGGAGAAGACAGATGGAGGGAGGCGGACCACGGGACCCCGGAAGCTGGCTGATACCACGCCCCTTCTTCCTGCACATTTTATACTTAAGGAAATAGCTTGAATGTGTGAGTTAGAGTTTTTTTAGACTGGATCAGGGACAGCAGTGTGAGTTTGCGTGGAGCGCCCACCAAAATCATACTTTATACTTTATATAGGGAATAAGGGATAGTTAAAGTTGGTCCAGGTCGTTGTGTTTAGATT